TTAATGTCATTGACAAGTTATTTCAATAAATTATAATTGTTGGAAAAAGTAACCTAAATCCAAAAACAAGCCCATCACCATTGACTCGATTCTGACTCATAGTGACCTATCTCAGCACAGAGCCTCATCGTTCTCCAGCAGGATTACCGAGCTGGTGGGTTAGCAGCACGGCATCCAACCCACAGCGCCATCAGGTTCTTGCATGTGTTGAATTAGATGCCTCACCTGGCTCAATTTGTATTGTTTTGAAGATTTATATCGTAGGGTAGCAGTGATTCTGTATGATAAGAATTCTGTAGAAAGAATTTCACTTGCGTACATCCCGCTAAATGGCTTACAGTCTCGACTGTCCACAAGGGGGGAAAAGGAACGAGGAGCATTGAAGTGCCTTGTCTAGTATTGATAACGGCCTGCTACTTAGTGGTGGGGAAAGTCTGAGACTCAGTCACCCTGGCGGCATAGTGGTTACCCACTGGGCTGCTAACTGTAAGGTCAGCAGTTCAAAACCACCAGCTGCTCCTCGGGAGAAAGAGGGGACTTTCTACTCCTGCAAAGAATAATAGTCTCAGAAATTCACAGGGGAAATACTACTTTGTCCTATAGGGTTGCTATGAGCTGGCACTGGTTCACGGTGGCTGTGAGCTATTGAGAGCAAAGTATCAATGAATTAGCACTTGAAAATTTAATGACTCTAACATATTTACTCAGAATCATTTGAAATAAAGACCCACAAATAACTGTTATAACCTGAAGCTTTTTCTTAAAGTTAATTATTTTTTAATCCACGGAACAGCTAAAGAAATGGTTTGACAATGAGGTGGGAAACTACAACTCTTAAAAAAAAGAAAGAACTCAAGCCTCTTCTCATCTCTGCCTGCCCCCTTCATTGCCACCCCCACAGAAGCTCATTCATGAAAGTTCACATCTGGGCAGAGACGCTCTGACACAAAAGATCATTGTTCTGGAAAAAGAGCAGGTTCGAAGGTCTGAAAACTTTAGGCTGTGGTGTTGCAGACCATGCCACAACCTCGGTGTGAGATCTGACCACGTCGTTTCCCCCATGACGCCAACGTCTTGTGCTATAGATTAAAGGCCATGGGCTAGATGATACTACAACACTACCAGCTCCATCCACCGAGTGGGGAGTGTGTGGGCGGCTGGCCACAGTTCTCCCTCGGTGGGAATGATGCGTGGGGCCTGGCTGTTCTGCCTGAGAGAAGCTGCTCCCTCCCTGCTCTAGTAACCCATGCCCCACCGCTTCGGGGTGGGAAATCCGGTGCAGTAAATTGTACACAAAGCTCATTCACTTGGTACCTTGAGATTTCATTTGGCATTAGAACCCAGAGGGCATTGATGATTTCTGTGCAGAGTCTAAAAGTTATCCAGTCACATACAGTTTTTGATGATGGCTGTCACCATGGTGAGGGCCAAGTTCACTCTACTCAATGCCCATATATGGCTGAGTCCGTCAAGGGCACAGGGAATGTCCAGGGTTGCAGCCAGGCCTTTTTATCACTGCGACAGAAGCACCGTGGGGACAATATCTAGCAAGCGACCCCAGGGGAGGCTGTGGGAAAGAACACACAATGGACAGAGCTCTTGAACAGCAAGAATCTGTCCAAATGCTATTTTTAAGTATTACATGACTTCAAAAAAAATGGTGAACCCAAAATAAAATAGCAAGGCAGAAAGCACGGTTTTCTGCAGGAATGTATCTGATTAGATCTGCTAATTAACAAATGGTCACTACACACACACATGTGGTTTATGGGACTGAAGTAATGTCTCTTAATCACTGTTTTAATAAAGCATATACAAGATTCTTAACAAGAACTATCTTCAGTTATATACTGGATTGCCCCTATGGAAAATGTAATCCTTAGTCTCCGACAGGTGTTTCTTATCTATTGGTGTCAGCCATAATTAATCAATATCCAATGATACACCTGAATCAACTGGGCAGCCTTGCATGCTGACTGGGTCTCTATGTTCCCCTGCCAGCATGTGTCTGGACCCAGCCCTACCATGGTGCTGAGTGTTAAACAGTACAAAGCAAAATGCAGATTGAGCAATCTGGGCATTCAAGAGAGTGGATATCTTAGTACAGGCTCTAAATTGGGGTATCATTTGATGATATCTCTTGAGCAAATGACTCAGGCAATTGCTAAACCTCAACTTAATCTGATCAGTGGTGATGAGCTATCTGTATAATTAGAGGAAAAGACAATTGATACTGGGTTTTGGATTACTCCTGTTAATTAAATTCAACTGACCAGAGAGATGCCTGATTTTACCTTTGTGCGGCTATGTATAGGAACAGATACGAAGTGTTGTTCTTACTTCAGGACAAAAGGAGACAAAAAGGTCTCAGTGTGTGAAAGAGAGCTTGAAGGGACCTTGGACATCTCCCCCTTAAAAAGACCTTTCTGATGCAATTGAAGGGTATGCATTGCATCATGTACTGAAATAATCAAAACTACTTGTCTTTACTCAAGAGCGAGACTCTTGTTGAGGCCTCAAGGGAAACTGCTTACTGGTTCTGCATACAACAATCCTATAAAGGGGAAAACCATCAACTACTCTGTGTGTCTGGGCTGCCTTGACTGACCGCTCACTGTCAGCTGATTCCGACTCATAGCAACCCTGTCGGACAGGGCAGGACGGTTTCCGGTGAGTTTCCAGGACTAACTCTTTACAGGAGTCACAAGCCCCGTCTTTATCCTGTGGAGTGGCTGGCTGGTGGTTTGAGCTGCTGACCTGGAGGTTAACAGCCCAGCACATATCCACTACGTCCCCAGGGCTCTACTGGAGTTTTAATCCAGTGTTTCCCCAAGTGAGCAAGACCACTCTGCAAGGGGGCTGGAGATGGTGGTGGTGGAATGATGGGAGGTGGGGGTGGGGGCGGTCAAAAGCTGATATCTACTGGATTGTGGACCATAACAAAAGTTTTTAATGATCAGAGAGTACTTTTAATTATCACTGAGAATTCCTCCCCCCCCTTTTTCCTGAAAGGCGGGCAGTAAGCCAAATAAGTTTGGGTATCTGTAGTTCAACCCCATCTCCTCCAGGCTAGTTTCACAGATGGGAACCCAGCACTCATTCATCCACTCAATGGCCTAGAAAGCTGAGTTATCTATGTGCTCCCAGAGGGAAGCGATGTAACTCCAGGGCTTTTCACCTTTGCTACAGTAGAACCATTGGGGAAGATCTATAGCAAGAGACCCTGAGAAATTTTAAATCTCACGAAATGGCTTCTACATATAACATATTTATACTTACTAAACTATAACTGTTTTGAAGTTTGTAACTCACGCAAACCCTAGAACATGGTGAAGCAGATTTGCTCCGAGGGCAGAAAGCCGGCTGGGATTCTGTGACCTTTGACGTAGAAATAGCAAGTAGTCACGTGGTCATTAAATAGGGGCACCGCAGTTTTCAAGAAGTTCCTGATGACCGAACTGTACCTACTTGGTCTTTCGGAAAGGACTCACCCAGCTGAGCATGCTGAAGTGCACCGTCCCCTGCCACCAGGAAGACAGGTTCCCTAGAAAGAGTCTGCTCTTCCGAATGGGTAGGTAGGGCTATTTTTACATGACAACTTGACCTCACGATTCAACCTGGAATCATTTGGAACACTGTAGGATTGTGATAGTGTCTGATAAAAACACAAGGCAGGGCAGACAAGCATTCCCAATTGCTGCCCACAGCCTGGCACTGACTGATGAAAGGGCAGGGAAGTGTGTGGAGCCTAGAGGGGAATGTGAGATTCAAAGGCTGAGAGACTTCAACTGCGAGGTGTGTCATCAAACTAACTCTGCTCCCCACAGCTCTCCTCTCAAGAGGTTGGGTTCAGTTAAAGCACCTAATACATAGTATCTCTTTTATGTCAGCAATGCAAAGATGCAACAAGCAGCTTTACAAGGAACAGAATAAGAGACCAATTGCTCTGATGGAACACACTGAACCAAACAAAGATGAGGTCAGTACTCCCAATTTCATCAGTTTCGTGATGAATATTTGGAGTAGTGCCCTTTCCTTCTCCATGAAATAGGATACAAAAACAATATCTGGGGAATAAACAATGATTTTAAGTGTTAGATGATTGATTACCGGTGTGATCATTGACTCTGTTTTATACAGCAGTGTAGATACATAATATACACTGTACATATAACATCGTATAAAGCATTTTTATAATATTTTATAAAACACATGTTCATGTGTTACAGGATTAGTATAAACCATGGTAACATTACATATATATATATATGTGTGTGTGTGTGTGTGTGTGTATGCGCTCATGAGGGGGCTTCAGAAAGTTCGTGGACAAATGGAACTAATCCATAATGGAACAGTTCCACAAGCTCTCTGCAGCCCTCTCGTATTTGCCACAGTGAGCAGCAAAAAGGGGAGAGGAAGGAAGTTAACATAGTTTTCAGCGTCTGAGGAGAGTGTTGTCACATTACTGTACTGCGTTATTGTCTGCTTTGCATTTTATCACTGGTGTTCTGGTAAAGAAAAAAGATCTTTTCGTTTGATTATTTGGCAAAGTGTGTAACTGACTGCACCATACCATTTAAAGCAGTGGTTCTCAACCTTCCTCGTGCTGCGACCCTTTAATACAATTCCGCATGTGGTGGTGACTGACCCCCCCCAACCATAAATGATTTCTGTCGCTACTTCATCACTGTAATTTTGCTATTGTTATGAATCATAATGCAAATATATGAAATGCAGGATGTATTTTCATTGTTACAAATCGAACATAATTAAACATAATTAAGGCATAGTGATTAATCACAAAACACTATGTAATTATAGATTGTGAAATATTTATGTGTTTTCCGATGGTCTTAGGTGACCCCTATGAAAGGGCCGTTTGATCCTCAAAGGGGTCGCGACCTACAGGTTGAGAACCGCTGGTTTAAAGGCACTCGCATTGTAACCAGATGTCCAAGGACGGCAGTCCAGAGCAAGCACCGTGCTACATCACGACTTACGCGGCCGCCTTTCTCAGGGTAGCACTGACAACCCCCGCTGCTGCAGTCTCTTCCTCCACACGGCCCATCGAACTTCTTCACACCCTGCAAAAGCAAGCACACAACAACACATCGTGAGCGACTGAAGATATTTCCAAGGACAGCGTGTATCCAATACCACCTGTTGAGAAAGCCCGTCCACCTCTTGCTAACTAACCATTCAACGTGTAGGATAGACCTTTTGAAAGGACTTCCCAAGTGGTAAGGAAGCTCCTGGGTCTTGCAAATGGTGAAACTTGCTTGGCTGCCAACCGAGAGTCTGCAGGTCTGGAGGTTCAAGGGTACTCAAAGGCATTCCAGGAAAAAGGCCTGATGGTCCTCTTGGGAAAAACCAGCTACTGCAAAAAGCGCACGAGCAGGTTTCCTCTGACACCTACAGGGCCCGCATGCACTGGCAGCTACAGGGAATCTGGTCATTAAGCGGTAAATGCTAAGCTGAATCCTGAGAGTCAAAAGCTGAGAACATCCTCTGAATCGAAGGGCTCTCTTTGGTCAAAAGCACCCAAAGTGAAGCCAGACTTCCACCATTTGGTAGCCACCGTGGTATAATGCAGGTGGCCTGGGGGCCTGGGTGCAATCTGAAAGGTCAGCCGTTCGAAAGCCAGCATTCTCCTCCCATAGAGAGTGATCATCTTGGAACTCAAGGGGCAGTGCTCCCCTGTCCGCTGCAGTCGCTATGAGGCGGCACGGCCGTGATGGCAGCGCTTGGGTTGGTTTGGGGTAGTACAATCCAGCAACTCTGAGCGCCCGGGAAGCAGCTCTTAGCCCTGCATCCCACAGGAGGAGAGGGCTGAGACCAGGCCAGAGCACTGAGCGGAGTGGGTGGCAGATGAAGGGAGGAAGAGGAGACGGTGGGATTTAGTGGTGAAGGTCAGCCAGCAGGACAACTCTGGGGTCCTGGGAACATCAAGCCAGTTATGATGAATCAAAGACTTCAGAGGCAGGTCAGTGTGAGGAGGTGAAATCTGATACAGCGACCACCTCTCATCTTCATTCACCAAAGCTAGCCACAGAGATACGGTGGAGATTCAATGTGAAGTATCCCCAGAGAACACCCCATTTTTGTTTCCCTTTCACCGTGCGAAGCCCCGGTGGCACAGTGTATCAGCTCTCAGACACGAACCGACAGGTCAGTGGTTCGGGCCCACTCACTGCTCTGTGAGAGAAAGACCTTTTCCCTCCTGTTCCCATAGAGATGGCAGCCTTGGACACCCTGTGGGCTCTTCGCTTCGACGGGGTCCTATGAGGTCACTAGGAGTCAGAATCGGTGCAATAGCAAAAGATTTGGTTTCTTATTTTTCATACTATGATATTTTTTTTTCCAAGAAAGAGAGAAGGGGAATGTGTGCGAAAGAGGCTTCTCAAAATATGTATTGAGTCGGGGTGGCTGGGGTGGTATAATTCTGTTTTTGCCAGGTACCGAGATGAAACGCTTCAGTGAGTCGAGCGGGTCATTGAAAGAGATTGCTGGCTGGGCCACTCTTAGGCTTTGCTCTCAGTATTTCTTTCAGATTTTAAAATCGTAGAGTTCGGGTGATAGAAAGGAGTATCTTAATTTGTCCCTTCAGATTGTGCTGGCAGGTACCAGATAATTCAAGTGGGAAGTGATCATTAGATGTACCCCCTTCTCCCCCATTTCTCTCCCACCTGTCTGTCAGCTTCTTGTCCCGTGTTGGGCTGGTACGTTGCTATGACGTTGGAAGCTTTGCCAACATTCCTTCAAATAGCAGCAGGGTCTCTCACGTAGACAGACTTGGGTGGAGCTTCCCGACAAAGACAGAGCAGGTAGAAGCTCTAATGGCGTCTTTCTGAAAACTAACCCACGGAAACCCTCTGGATTCCCCACAGAAGATGAGGGGCTTCCAGAACTTGGTGAGCGAACATAATGAAAAGATCCGGAATGTGTCCCCTAACTTTTGGAAACCTTCACAGCATCTCATCGAGTGCTGTCAGGGGCGCCCCCCAGAAGGAGCCACGGCTAGCTGCAACGACCGACCGACGGATGATACCAGCAACACCAACCAGCCAGATCGCAACATCTCCACACACAAAACACAACACACTGGGGACAAAATTGCATGCTTCCACCTCTTGGTCATTCTCTTCTGAAGGGCGGTTTGTAATGAGTAAGTCTCCATGAGGAAGGATCCTCCATTGGACGGCCACTGGGGACTCCCTTTGTAAGTGTTTCTGCCTGTTTTCGTGACAATATATCCGCCACAACCTCCCATGCTCCGGCACTGTGCTAGCTGCTTGTGTGGAAATGCAGACGGGTTTCCATAGCCGCTCTGTAGCGCTTGCTTCCAGGACAGCCTTCCTCTATGTTGGTCAGGACCAGTCCACCTCTGGCTGAAAAGCACCTGGCCAGAGTTCACATTGGCCTCAGTAATGACCCCACATGCCTTTTGGATAGGCGCTACATTCCTTTCCCAGGTTAACCACTTTCTGCTGGAGAGGCCCCTTTTGAGTGGCTCACCTTGCTGAGTTCTTCTGGTTAATTCTTTACCTAATCTACTATCTGCTAATAGTATCAGTTACTTCTTTAAAGGATTCCAAATGTCCCAGGATCTCAAAACCTTCAAAGGGATCAAAGCCTCACAGGCCCTTTGAATCTCTTTTTGGTTATCTTTCAGTGAGGCAACGCCAGTGTTTGTATTCCATAGGGCACAAGTAAGCATATATAAAATTCTTTCACTCCCTCCAAATGGTACGATTCTTGCCATTTTAAAAAAATGCCTTCTCGCAAAATTCCCCACTTTGAGTATGAATATGAATAGAAACCCCCCTCACCCCAAGCCATAAATAAGCCCAATAGATTACCTTTAGCACCAAATGTAGAAGCCTAGATGGGCCACCACATTCAGCCTTTTTACTAAGTATAACTTTGACATGAATCCTTGGCATGAATCCTCTAGTTCATGTATTAATCCATTTACCAGGTTTTTGGGGAAAGGTTGGCAGGGGGTGGGGGGGTGGATTGGGTGCGGGGAGAGTCCTCAGTCTAGGGTGTAAAACATTAAACTCACATTCTCCATCTGGTGTTTCACATGCTATTTTTAATTTTGATTTTGAAACCACTTGCCAAATCGCTGTATATAAATCAACGCTTGAAATGATTTTACTGGTTTCAAATTAATCCAACAGATTTCTCCATTCTAAGTTTAGAATATGCGCTGAGTTTAGGTCCAAAAATGAGTTCTTCATAACTTACTCTTTTGGACTTAGGAATTGAGGTTTGATAAGTCTGTTCTTAACACGTTCTCAACCTATGTGAATGCCTCGGGTGCCCCGTCTCACAAGATGAGAAATCACTGAGAGATTTGAATGGCACACATTATTTCCTTCATGGGAATTCAGGAGTGTGTGTGCATTTGTGTGTGTGTGTGTGTGTGTGTGTGTGTGTTTCCTTCTAGTATCTGACATGTCCTTCACAGGGGCTCTTGTGAATTCCAACAGCTAAAAGAAGCCCAAGTATCACATATTGGAATGTCAGATCTCCAGGATGAACAGAAATATTTACTTTCTTAAGGACAGGGCATAAGTTCCAGATAGTCAAAGACTGAACAAGTCTTCATTCTGAGCCTGGGCATTTACCTGACAAGTTGTGGGACTCTAAAGCATTCTCAAGCCATACATGCTATCTTAAATTACTCCTCTAAATTACGACAACGTTGGCTGCGATGGGAAAGTCCAAGAGCTGTGTCCCGCCCTGTACCCCTTGAACAGAAGAATACTAAAGCATGTCACTAGTTACGGTCAATGCTCCATGGCCTTGGGACTGTCATTTGATTTCACTGCTGGTGTTTAAGGCAAAACTTGACCCTGCGTCTTGGCAACTTTTTCTTTTCTTTCCTTTTAAGCCTAATTCCCTCACTCCCTCATCTCCACTTCAAGAAACTCCCACCACACTCAAAGAAGAGGACTAATTGGCTGTGCTTCTTTCTGTAACTCCAGAGTGTACATGAGGGTGAGCTTTCACCACGGACTCCAGTTCCCTTTAGTATTTCCCAAGGCCCTTTCCGGCATTGTACATTTCTAACCTCTTCTTCCTACAAAATCCTGGATTGAAATGTGGAAAAGCTAGTAAAATCTTCCATGAGTTATTCTTTCAGTGCTAAAGTCCCACCACCAGCAGTGGTTTGGAGCAGGATGCCAAATCCTTGTTCTACCCTGGGTTACTTAGAGGTGTGCCTGGCTACTGATTTCACCATCTATGCAAGTACGGTAGAGATTTAGTTCCTGGAGTCAGAAGGTTCCGGTCCTGCGATGTGTATGCAAAGGACTCCATTTTTCATGGACAACACTACAATCATTTAACTAAAGTGGTCAAAGTCTTAGGCTGTTTGGAAATTGTAATCCCAAGGGTGGTGGAGGGGGGTGGGAGAGGGAGGACAGGTGAGTGGCTTTATAGGACCAATTTTAAGGAAGCTCTGATGAAAGTTGGGCGAGGCTTCTTCACGCCTAGAGAACTGGAGTGCAGCTGAAACACATTCTCCTAATGAGCCTTTATTTTTGTATCCTCCAATCCTGGCTCGGCCCTCAATTCAGTCTCATAGCTGCCTTCAAGCCAGGGGTAGAGACCCTTCACAGAGACTGGGGCATTCTCAGCTCTCCCAGCTGTACTGAAACTCACCTCAGTTGCTACTCACATACCATGTTCGCCCATTTTAAACGGTGGCTCTAACTCCCAAATCTGGATGGCATGTGTGATTTGGAGGCTGTCCATTATGAATGCACTGTCCATTATGAATGCACACTCACTCATGTGCTCCCGTCTGGTCAACTACGTCATCAGCAGTCCAACAGGAGACCAGACCCCATTTGACTTATCTGCTCCTTCAAGATAAGTGAGAGGAATGATGGGGAAGTATTATAGACAAAGGAAAGGGACTGTCCTTTCTAGATAACTGTTGACTGTTGACATTGTAAAAAGTGTTATGTAACCAACAGGGGCAGTTTTTGAAAGATAAATGTGAACTATACATTTTGAGAAATAGAACAATTCAGAACCAGAAATAGAACAATTCAGAACCAGCACACACACA